GTGTGTGTGTGTGTGTGTGTGCGTGTGTGTGTGTGTGTGTGAGTGAGTGAGTTAAACCTACTTTGCTTTAGCTTCAGCGTCCTCATAACTTTTACTTGAGATGTCGTCTAATCCACCAATCAGATGCTTGAATGAGCTGAAGCAGATGAAACAGCCAATCACCAAACAATGTTCATATAAACTACATACATTTACACACATTATATAAACTACATACATTTACACACATTATATAAACTACATACATTTACACACACTACATAAAGTACATACATACAACAGAAGTATTAGTAAATGAAATGTGAGAGAAGAGTGTAGTTTGTCTTAGAACCAACAGAGGGCAGCACGCAGCTTGAAATAGACCAGCGGGTGTTTTTTTTAAAGAAACATTTTCTTTGTATTTCAGTAATTTAAACAGGAGGAAACGTTCATCTGACATTTACATGAGACTGTTTCATTATAATCAATAAGACAAATCATAAAAACAATAATAACAACTAACAAATTCAGATGAATGAAATGTTGAACTGTTTCTGTTTGATTTTACTTTCAACTTCTTCTTGTCTCCAGCTGCAGAGCATCGACCTTTAGAGGATGAGATGCGCTGAGAATTATAGATTCATTTATTTGGACGTCTTGGCTCCTTCTAGCTGCAGTGAGATGTAATGTAGAAAATAAACAATGTTCTTCTGTGACAACCTTCCACAGAATCAGCCTCTGGAGGACGGGTGATGTTCCAGGTTGGAGCAGCAGCTGAAATACGTCCAGGTCATTTCACTCTGGAGCTTTTGAACCCATCCATCCAATCAGCAATGATCCTGGTCATAGCCAGTACCTTCTCCAGTAGAATGTGTTGTAATGTAATGTAATGTGTTTGTGATTAGTTCACTGTCCTACAGCTCGGTGATAATGTCCTCGTGTTGATGGGGAACGAACGTCTGAATGATTAATATGATTCATGTAAAATGTAAAAACAGTTTTTCTTACTCTCTGTCGATGACCAGGCAGGTGACGGTGTCGGCTGCGATGACGTTAGCTGTTCTCACGTCCTCCCTGTGGACACAAAAATGTCCTTTTTATAAAATAATTTTTCATTTTCTTTTTATGTCCTCTCTCTATAAAACGTTGTATGTCTCCACATTTACACAAAACTATTTCTTTAAAATAAAAAAAAGATTATTCAAAATGTTCCAACAATATTTTCACATTAAAAGAATCTACTCACGTTCCTGAAACACATTTTAAAACGTTTCTTTGAAGAAACAATCCACATTTTCTCAAAACATTCATTCAAATGAAGTTTCTTCATTGTGTGAAATGATCTTTAATTCAAAACATTCTCACTCACACAAATGAACCTGGTCCTCACAGAGGTAGAGACACTGACACCCCCTCCCCCAAGGAAACACACTACAGACCAATCAACACGACTGACACACGACAGAAGGAAAACAAACACACACACACACACACACACAAACAAACACTCTGCCGAGAAAATCATAAACATTGTAGTGACCTCCACTGTCCTCTAGCGCCACCATTAGGTCACACTCTCTCACCCCTGCAGCGCTCTCTCTCCAAACCAGTCTCCTCTGACGAGCTCTCGGAGGTGAGCTGGCTCCTGATTGGCTGAGTCCTCCTGGGTCACGTTCACCTGGTCAGAGTGATCGACATGAATCAGCAGGTGATCAGGAGAGTCAGCTGATCGATCCACTCATCAATGAACAACCAATCATTACCTTTCCCTTACTGATGATGAAGAAGGTGTCGCCACGGGCGCCTTGTCTGATGATGAAGTCTCCGTCTTCATAGTGCGTCTGAACCCACACACACACACACACACACACACAGTCAGGAAGTCATGACAACTAACATGTGTTCTACAGGTGAAGAACACTGTTGTCATGGAGACACAGCCCAGTTCTCACCTCCTCCATGACGTCCGCCAATTTACTGAGAGTTTCCTCTGGAAGACTCTGGAAGGTCGGAACACTGCAAAGAGACGAAGAGACGGTTGGATGGTGTTGGATGGTGTTGGATGGTGATGTTGGATGATGTTGGATGATG